CAATGAAAGATACATCACAATGTGTACAACATTGAATGATACACCCCAATGTATAACAATGAAAGATACATCACAATGTGTACAGCAATGAAAGATACATCACAATGTGTACAGCAATGAAAGATATATCACAATATGTACAGCAATGAAAGATACATCACAATGTGTACAACATTGAATGATACACCCCAATGTATAACAATGAAAGATACATCACAATGTGTACAGGATTGGAAGATATATCACAATATGTACAGCAATGAAAGATACATCACAATGTGTACAACATTGAAAGACACACCCCAATGTACAACAATGAAAGATATACCCTTATGTGTACATGAATGAAAAATACATCCCATGTGAAAGTGAAAGACGTACCTCGATGTGTGTGACATTGAAAGATACACCTTAATGTGTGTAACATTGAATGACACACCCCAATGTATAACAATGAAAGACACACCCCAACACCCCAATGTACAACAATGAAAGATATACCCTTATGTGTACATGAATGAAAAATACATCCCATGTGAAAGTGAAAGACGTACCTCGATGTGTGTGACATTGAAAGATACACCTCAATGTGTGTAACATTGAATGACACACCCCAATGTATAACAATGAAAGATACACCTCAATGTGTGTAAACATTGAAATATATACCTCAATGTAAATAACGTTTGACAGATATGTAATGATATATATATATGTAACAATGAGAGATACACCCAGTATGTGTAAGAGTAAAAGACACCCCAAGGCGTGTAACAGTGAAACACATGCCCCAATGTGCGTAACACTGAAAGATACACCCCAATGTGTGTAAACATTGAAATATATACCTCAATGTAAATAACGTTTGACAGATACACCACAATGTATGTAACAATGAAAGATACACCCAGTATGTGTAAGAGTAAAAGACACCCCAAGGCGTGTAACAGTGAAACACATGCCCCAATGTGCGTAACACTGAAAGATACACCCCAATGTATAACAATGAAAGATACACCTCGATGTGTGTAAACATTGAAATATATACCTCAATGTAAATAATGTTTGACAGATACACCACAATGTATATAACAATGAAAGATACACCCAATATGTTGCATAATATAAATGGATGTATATGACTATATAATCAGGAATTTGAAAATTAAAAAAATAATTCTTAGAGAATTCTTTAAGCTCTTATGACAATTTAGGTCATGATTTATTTAATATCAAAATAAATACTAGTCGAGGACAAAAGAAATATTGTCATGTAAACAAACACTGCAACTGATTTGATAAATTTTTAAATATCGCAAGAAGTCCACAAATCAAAGCAACTGGACACTATTTAGTTGCATTTACATCCACAGTCCCACTATACATGTAGGACTGTTTTACATCCCAGGCAAGATCGAAAGTACATTTCAGAATTTTCTCACAAAACCATTATCGAACAGTTTTAAAATTTATAATTTTTTTTATTTTTCATACTTAATTCTCAACCAAATGGATGACAATTGTTACATTGATGATAAAGAAAGGGAAATTATGCAAATCATACCTAAACACATTTGTGATAATAAAAACATGCAGAAAAAAAAAATCAGAGAGCTGAACCAGTGTGTCTTTAAAATGGAACTTGAACAAATAGATAATTTTAGGTTTTTCAATTGAACATCAATTGTATATATTATTTTCTTTATCATAATGGATAAGGAAGTTTGGAATCAAAATTCTGACTAATTAAACATGTACAATGCATATTGATTACAGAATATTCATATTTTAAGAAGTGAAAACCAAAAGTATAGATACAAGCAAATAAAGCCACTATAACTGTTCCAAGCTACTGATTTACACTACTCCCCATAGAAAATGAGAAGCTAACCAGAGTCAGGTAATCTCCATGTGTACCCATATCAATCATGAATCATTACTAGCAGTGTGGATTAATTAATTAATAGTTATTTAACTACCCACAACAGTGAAATTGAAATGTATTAAAATTCAAAAGAATGACACTAAAATAACCTTCCACCGATGAATAGATAATAGACGACCAAATTGGCCATTGTTCTCATTAACCTAGTAAACATCAGAAATCAAATGAGTATAATTATGAAACTGTTGTATTTCATTTGTCAATACTCCATCCCCCTAATAACACAAACTTGTCAACTAAGACAGGGGTATCAAAATCAGATATCCAGTTGACATGGTTCACTCATTTGTCATGGATTATCCAGTTGCCAATACAGGTACCCTGATTGAAGGGAATATTATCATATCAACTTGCCTAATATGGGGTTATCTCACCAAATCAGCCATGGTACACACTATTCAGAATATTTAATGAGGGTTTTTCCCCCACATTTTTCAGAATACCTTGAGGCCTCCTACAATAATTAGATCTGAGAGGGCAGTATCTTGTTGGGAGACACGTTCAGTGACTGGGAAAAAAATGAGTGAATGTGTAACTAGCAATTCTCAATTTCCAGGAAGTGGGGCGACAAATCCAGATTAAATTATATCATTCCCGATGTGAAAAACCAACAAGTTACACACAGCAAATTTTGTCAAATACTGAGTGTGACCTTTAAAATATCAGTCTGAATAAATTAATGATAACTGATGAAAATAGTAAAAAAAAATGAAAAGGGATTCGTCTAACACAGTTTCTAAAATATGTCTACACCCCAGCTGGTGAAATGTCATTCTTGCTGGGGTATGGGAAGATCTGATAACCACACACCACCAATGTGGGTTGCCGGTATTTAACACGATGACAGACACTCAAAAAAATAAATATTAACGAGGAGTTATCTCCTTCTCAATTGTTATCAAAATAATCATGCCATGGCACACTTGATTCCATCTGGTCAATTGCGCTATCAAATTCACGAGAAACGCACTTATGGATAGATGTTATAATTTCTGAAATCTGTTACTTTCACAAAACGAACAGATCAACAGAAACTCGTTTTCCCTATCCAACACTAAAATTAATTCGGAGAGGAAAATCCTAGAGGTGGGCCTCACCGACATATATTATACAGCACGATGACATCAGTGGCAATGTTCAATGTAAATATAAACACCGCACACCTGTAGGCCCCGAACTAGGGGGCACAGTGGAATCACGACCACCTCCCCATACGAGTACCTCCCTTACCTTCCGACGAAGATCCTTGCAATTCGATCACAACGTGTATTCTTCCGGTTGGCTCAAGATCAATCTGAAAGAGGCCACAAGACGAAGAGAGACCGTATCAAATATAATGAAATTCAACATTAGCACAACAATGCAACGATTTACAGTCACCGTTCCCGAATCCGAATAGAGCGCTTAAAAATAAAGAGCAAAGGACGTGCCCGTCAGGGAGCACTCCGCTGAAAAATACAGCAGGTCGATAGCTGCAAATGTTATTACCCAAATATCGGCAACTTTGTGACTGTGACACGTCTGTAACAAATCCTCGAAAGCAACAGTACAGTTGGCGACAAAATCATCAGGAGGGATGGCCGCGCTATGAAACACAGTGAAGCTCACGCTGTTGCCACGGTGCACTTCGGTTTGGAACTCTTCATCCCAAAACGGCCTATACGTCTTCTGCTTTGTGGTCGTCTGTCCGATATGATGATCATCAACAGTGATTGTCATATACGGGTCGATCAGTTGCAACTGTTTGCTGTTAATGCTGAGGGCATGTCGTGTAGAGAAATCTGTCGGCTTCAGATCGACGGCTTCGTACACTTTCAGCCGCATCGACCCGTTAAAAACTGGCATGTTCGTGTCTTTTAACAACACCCACGACACACACAATTATCAAAAGACCGCCGGGGATCCAATAGATGGTTATTACACAATACAAAGGGTGAACGGAGTCGCTAAAAGGGGGCAAATAGCCCAAGAAGAATCCACAGTAAACACCACCGTCAGAACCAGACTCGTAGGAAATTTTGTGCGAGAAGTGTAGTCCCAACGTTCACTGCAGCTTCCGGAACCTCGTTCGAGGAATGAAAAAACGACACATATTATTTTTTTAGGAAAATGCAGATCATAAAAATGTATATCTGATTGTTTAAATTATTAAGATTTGTTTAGCTACAACTTAAAATTGAAATAAAAACATACTAAACGTTTTATACGTGTAAGTATATTAGAAAATGTAAATGTGCAACAATTATTGGAGAAAAGAATACACGAACTCAAAATAACACACATCTGAAGATGACTGCCAGTAGTTCGGGGCTGGGAAGAATTTTAACTAAATTATGTAGATATAACAATATCACAGGACGAAGGTAAGAATTAAGTGTGAAATTATGTATTTCGAAATATATTTTAATACTAAAGTGTTCAAATACAATTATTACATTTGTTTAAATTTAGTTTTTCACCAGATACTTGCTGCACTGACTTGAAATTTGCTTGATGAACGCCTTGCTTGGCCTTTTCTACAGTTTGTTATTTTCTCTGTCAGTAGTAATTTAAAACTACATAGATATATGCGAGGAAATGGTTGTTATTTTTTATTTATTTTAATTTATAGCATTTTTCAAGCATATATATGAAAAGGGTACTGTAAAACCATTTATATCTCGCTATTACTATTCACCATTTTATATTACAATATATTTATATTTAATTTAATGAATTTTACTCATCAGCGAAAATCAAAACCCAGTGAATAATTAATACATTTACAGTATGTAAATTTCATAATCTTGCACGGTGATATACAATGAAAAATTCAGGAGAAGGAAACTTTTGCACTTTACGAGTGTTTAAAAGTGATCCCATTTTGTGCGCATAAATCGAACAAAGTTTTAATCAATTCTCGGGGTGGACCTCCAGGCATTTCTGATGAAAACAAAAGCTGAAAACGCTCAGGAAACTGTACTTTTGGCTAATTGTTGAGACTCTCCTGAACGAGACAACTTGAACATGTGCAACATATATAAATTTGGTCGCTTAGGGTTACCTCAAAATTGAGTTTGTGCTGTTTTCCCCGGCTACTTGACTGGTGTTCCACCGTAACTTGTAGAAATACACTATACAGTGGTGCACCTTTAAAGGCCAAGGTATACTATAAATACGCTTCTAAACAATAGGGATTATTTCCTTGCTTGTCACGCTGTAGTTAACAGCTCTAGCCATGCTCCGGTGAAAATGCGTTTTCTCAAACTAACAGGTTGATTATGTCATGCCAAAGTGGATGCATGTGACTATGAATATCACAGCAGTGACTGTGTGTAGTATTTATGACAATAAATAGTGTACAAGCTGAGATTTTGGCGGATAAAAGTCAAAAACACGAACCAGGGAAAGGGATGCGCTACTAATCTTGAATATTTAACTACTGTCAATCAAAGTCACGCGACGTTGGACCGCTGAAACAGGATGCGTCATAGGCTATGCAAGTTATTAACAACACTTATTAGCATAGCCACACCTCCAATTCACACTTGCCAGGGGGCAAGTGAATTAGGTCTTTAAGCAGTATAGAACGTTCTGTGAAGTCACTCGAGAATAGCATCACAGAATGTTTGATTGCATAAACAAAAATAAGCAAGATTAATTAACTGTTCTCCCCAGGGCATTATAGAGTAGGGGTTCCCAACTGTTTAATTTTGGATAAACAATGAATACAATTAAGGTGATTAAAATATTCTGTTGTTATGTAAATCATGGAGGTAAAAAGAGTCACAGCCAAAATAATCCTCCTAAACTTCTTTTGTTTTAGCCAAGTTTAATCCTATAATTCCCTTTGTCTTATTGTACTTTCACCCCATGATTGTCGCCGACACGCCATATACCCTCAAGCGTTGTTGCGTACAGTACTTACTCCAAGGTCTTGTTTTACGGTGTCGCAGTAAATGTCAAAGGGCATAAAGCATGCGCAGATCTTTATTTACTTACAGGAATCATGTTTGCGAGAACGGGAAAGTTGGAATTTTGAAAATCGGAGAATTTCTTGTTAAGTTCGTGTAATTTTTCGTATTTTAGCGCATTTTTCGTTGTGTTTTTGAATCAGCAATATTTTAATGTTTCGAAACCTTGCTAGTACTGTTTTTTAGTCAAAAATGAAGCTCGTTTAATGATCTTTGTAATGGTGCATGACAAGGACTGTACCGCGTTGTACCAGAGACTGAATTTTGAGGTTCAAAATGACACTTTTTGAAGTTTATACCTCGTGTATGTCCTACTTCCTATGGCAGTGTGTCAATTTTCATTATACACAATGTACAAGAAATTCGCTGCATTTTTCGTTTTCGTTTTGTTCACAGCATTTGCAAAACAATTCTTCGTCTGTAATATGCTCTTCGACTTTGTTTACGTCTTCTGAATTTAAGGATATAGCAGTTTCAGCATCATAGTCAAACTCATGGGCATTATCGATCGTCGCCATATTTGTTTATAAAAATTTGTATCAAAACTACATGTAGTCCCGTGCCCCAGTCATTTTTTTTTTTTTTTTTTTTTGCTGAAGGACTTATTTCTTATTATCTCAGGTACTTGGTACAATTAATGAATGACAAACTTATTTGTCAAGCACTTTTCTTTTGCAACTTCATGACGTCATGTCTCATGGATTCCAGTATTTTTCTAGGTGGCCAAATCTGAAAGTAATTAGTGAGTTTACTCCATTTGTGTTATTAAACCCCTCGTCAAAGAGTCTAGACTAGGTATAATATCCAATTTAGCAGAAGTAATCATAATAATGATGCACTGTATTTCCACTTTTTCTTCACAGTCAATTAAACAAACTATGGTCGGAGCAGCTTGCTTATCCTGGCACATCAAGAATCCACTCTCAGAATACAAGAACATTAACAACAGAAGCACAGCCTGAAAGTGCTTCAAGTAATGCTGGAATTCTTCTTAGTGATCGATGTGTCAAGGTACATGTACATGTGATGTAGTCCAAAATCGGGGACTGAATTGACTTCTGTACATTCATCTATACCTCTATCTTGGATACAGACCATGTTCAAACTTCTCACACTTCATATATCTTGAGATATGGCCAAATGGCATCTACTTTAGTGCTAAAAATTTATAGACGTTTCTGTAATTCCGAAACTGGATTTGGGACGTGTAAAGTTGGATTTTGTTAGGACTTGGGTGCACATTGGACTTTATGGGAGTTTTTGTTTTTCCGATCAAATTCAAAATGGCTGAATGAATAATGAATGCTGTTCTTGAGTCATATCTCTGTTGTGACTTGACTGGTCACATTCAAACTTATTACATATGTCATATACATACAGTTCACACATACAAACATGTATTAGCTTGACAATCCAATTCAAGATATCTGAATAACAACCATTTTAAAAATGCATCAAATCAAGCATTTCTGCTATCCTGACCCAAATCTTGGTTATACATAGATATGGTTGCTGGTACATACATTGAAGATAACCTTGAAGTGAATTCTGTTTTTCAGTTCAAATTCAAAATGGTTGACTGACAAAAAATTTTGTATTAAAAAAATAATGTTCCAGGGCCATATCTTATTCTTTGACTGATTACGATCAACTTTACACCCATATTATAAATCACGTCACTAATATTAATGTACATGTACATTTGTTATCAAAAATGTGCAAGTTCAAGTGTGGTTAACAATTTAGAGATCAGAAAAATAGCAATTTTTTATTCATATTTTTGAAGCTTGATTTATAGATGCTAATAATTATAATGCACAGAACTGATTAGTATTTCGTTAAAATCTATGCATATTAATTACCTAATTTGCTTAATAATTTGGCAATAGGTATCTCAGTACTACTCATTTGATGTCAATAAATTTTGGTACATGCTTAGTTTAAAGTTGTACGGTAATCCATTCATATTACCATGTTCGCATATATTAGGAATTGAATTTTCTGATATCTCAAGAACTACTTAAAGGCCAACATTTATGTACCATGAGATGGGCGGAGCTTAGTATTCTAATTTGACTGATTATTCAACGACAGTAACTGTCAATTGTTTCTTGTACATGTATGCAGATAATCAACGTCTGCGCTAATCTCTTGTTTATGTGTATAGTTACTGATCTGAGCTGTGTAAAGTAAAATAAACATTTATTGTGGGAATCCCAGGGGTCGAAATACGCTGGATTATTAGCTAGTGCAAGTAAACTCAAAATATAATGTGCACGCTGTGCATGTAGAAATTAACACATTTTCTCATTATATTCACTGAGCCTAAATTAAGTTCAACCAATATTGTAAGATAACTCAAAAAATACAAATTCTTTCATGATCGCATAGATCGAGAACCTGTAAATTTTATTAAAACTTTAAAATTGGTGGCCATGCATTTCACAACAAGTTAGTGCAGATAAATTTCAAATTCAACGTGCATACTGTGCATGCAGGGGAAAAATTCTATTTCAATTCCTGAATCCAAATTCTAGTCCGGTATATGCACAGTTCCTTTTAGAGTGACACTGCCTATGCTGCAATGTTCAATAATTATATTCACAGACATAAACCACATTGTGTAGAGTAAATATTTTCTGCTGTATTTTGTTCTACTGTAATTCTAAACCTGGTTTCTGAATGATCGGTTGTTTTCCACAAGCGTGAATCCTCAGACCAAGGTGAAACAAAAGACATTCGTTCACGGATTTGACCTGCTATTACCTGGCAGGCAACAGTAGCTTGGATCGATCACTGGGTCGTAAATATTTGCCCAAAAATACTAAGTCATAACATTGACAATCGTGCGTAGATGTCCTTTTTTTATTTCATTCATAAAAATTGGGGACACAGAAATAGTCGTTCCTTATTTCTGCTACCGGACAACCCAGGTTACTTAAACATGGCGCAACTTAGGGAACTGAT